TTTGTACATTTGTTGCCATCATCATTCTCAAAACATTTGCTTTCTACTTGAGCCCTTAATATTAGCTCCTCATTTTCCCCCTCCCTCCCCGCTCCCCCCTCCTTCATGAACCCTTCATAATTCTTAAATTATTTTTTCAACTGCTTACTTCTTATGTTATCTCTATCTATCTATCTAGCTATCTATCTATAGATATTATTAGCATTCTGGTTTTGTTTCTCTAGAGAACCCTGTCTAACACAGGCAAGGTGCAGAATTAGAGAGCTATGAATAAAGATGTAAACTTGGAATTGTAAATCTGTCCATTTTCATCCCCTACACTCAACTCATTCCCTCGTAATTTAATTCTAACCTTTTCCTATTACATTTAGCTACACTCAAGCCCCTGGAAAGGCCTGCTAGAACACACCACTGGAACGCAGCAATGTCTATCATCCTTACCTTACCCATCCTTCTCAGCTCAGTTAAAATACTATTTCTTCTACACCTTCTCAGACGCTACTTGTGCTTGAGCTCTCTGGGGAAGCAGGACAGGGAAGCTTGTATGTAAGGCTATGAAGAGCCTTCATAGGTCATGAAGAAACTCCATGATCTTTCAGCTCAATTTTCCCACAAAATTTGAAGCCCTCTTTAAAGAATAGATCATGAAGTTGTAGAGGTTGACAAGTCCTAAGTCTCCAGTGAAACATGCTGAAGGCTTCCCCTGACTCACGTAGCTGCAAGAGTTGGTGATCCCAAGATCGTCAGAAAGCAGGGAGCTGGCTCTGCGTCTGCAGAGGTTGGTGAATCCCAAAATCAGCACACACCAAGACAGGCGACTGCTTCGTTAGAGCTGCACTCACTGCAAATAATAATCAAAGCTTCAAATATTTATCTGCCAACTTATGGGGTCACACCAAGAACACCAGACAGAAAGCAAAGGTGATCAAAAAGACAGGAAAGAAATGCTGCTGACATCAAGCAGATTTTGGCTGAAAGCAGAAAATAACAGAAATATGTGTAGTTGTGGGTTTGGTTGTTGTTTTTTTACTATAAGAAAGTGTTGGACTAAACTGTGTGGACCATAATAAACTGGATAACATTGCAAAGAATAGTAATTCCAGAACACATAATTGTACTCAGGTGGGACCTGTGCATAGATTGGCCAATGGACGGTTATTGAAAAAAGAACAAGAAGACCTTGCACGGTTTAAGTATGGGAGAGGTGGCGTCAGGGTCGTTGCACCATATTTATTTAATCTGCATGTAAGAAAATAATCCGAGAATCTGCACTATATGAAGAAGACAAAGGCATCAGAATTGGAGGAAGGCTTTTTAACAATCTATGATGTATAGATTTCACAACTTTTTAGGGAGGGATCTTCAATAAATTCCTGTATGCTTACTTATTTGATCACATTTTAAGTTTTGATTATTGTTCCCAGCAAGTGCAGTTTTGACTAAACTCCCCCATTCCCACTTTAACTAACTCCTACTCCACTTTCTACCCAGTACGGACCCCAGGCCTATGGCCTTAATGAGCGCATGATTTAAATGCTTGAGTATAAACTTAAAACAGAATCAAACCAAGAACATCAGAGCCTGTGAGGCTAAAATGAAGACCATACCTTTAGATGAATGTGTCTTTAAAAAGAGTAATATTGTCTGAAGGGGGCAGGGGAGCAATCATGTCCAGGATCTAAACCCTGTCACTCAGTATAGATTGTACTCCTGGATGAGAAAATCATACAACTTGAACAAGAACTATCACAAATCAAATGTATTAACATCCAGAAAAATATAGATTGTACTCAGGATGAGATCCTTAAACTCTAAGAAAAGAATGAAGCAAGGCAAATGGACTGACACCTAGGAAGGTGTAAA